CTACTTTTGAGCAACTCGTAGCTCGAGTGGTATATGCTAAATATTGAAAGCAAGAAAAAAATCCCAAGCAATAAATGAATACACTCTGAGGAAGGAATACACCTATATTGGTGTTAAGGAAACAGTATCAAGACGGGATTGTTTTATTAAAAAATGGGTACCCTTTTAAAATTTCTGCAATCGTAAATTGGTTACAAGGAAATGTATTTCACAATGCTACTACTATTCATATATTTTATTTCTCACAAAAATATCACTTAAACCTAATAAACCTAATAAAAGCCCCTTTAAACCAAACACCACCTCATCCATGTACCAATGTAATATCCAATTACCGTAATCAAGAGGAAAATAATTACTTTTCTATTTCAAAAGCTTTCCGCAGGATCTGTGCAGCCTGCTCAAGTTATCCCTCCAATTGCAACCACTCTGCCTAAAGCCACAGTGAAATAAACACAGGTAGCCAGTCATTAGTTTTGACCAACATTCACTGTAATATAGACTTGGTGAAAGTCTGCCACTCCACAGGAATCTGGTGGTTTTCTTACCTGAATAGATGTTGTTAGGGCCACTGGATGAACAGCCAATCTAGTAGTAAGAACTTAGCATTCGAATATGGGTAAGCAAAATATTTTTAAGTAAGAGACCATTGTACCAAGGCCAATCGCTTTGATATTTAAACCTACTACTGTGCTAACAAGAATACCTCTACCTTCACTGCTGAACTTAAAATACTGACCTATTAAAAATGCTCTGCCCTATTAACATTTATTTTAGATGTATTACAGATCAGATCCAGTTCTACGTTCCTTGACATTTTCTTCAATGTTCACCTCTGTACCTTTTCATCCTGTTCCAAATGTGCAGAAGAATACGGGTGTTAGAAAGTCTCAAGACGCAGATTTTTATCACAGGAACGAACTGTCCTAATCACCAGAAAATCATAGTTCGGGCCGAGTCTTGTTCCATCCATGGTTCTTGCTGTGCTGCACTACTCTTCCCTTCTCCTGATACTATGTTCTGCCTACTTTGACCATAATCATATTGGACAAGGAACACGTCTCTTCAACACCCTGCACAGCTCTCATCCATTCAACTGCAAGCTGTACAAAAGTCCATGTACTTATGCATACACGCATGGAAAACGCAATCCTATCCATGTTTACTCAGAGCTTTGCTCACATCCCACTGTGCTCAGTGTAGTTCATTTCCAGGCAAGTGTGAAAAGAAGTGCAGTCTCAGTAAAGCTTTCTGAGATGTTTAAATCTAGGTTCATTGCAAGGACATGGATAACACAAAACTTTGACCTCTCTTCCAATGGTAACCCAAAACAGGACTAATCCACCAAATATTTAATAATGAAGCTGACACTGGAAATGTCTCTTTTAATATCACTCCATCAGTACTTGGGCTTTGAACAGCAACTTTACAAGGAAGATGGTGACACTGGTTGGTTATTTAATGCTCAGCCAATAATTATTTTATATCAATAACTGAAAATGCAGAACTGTAAGTCTGAAATATTGCCAAAAGACTGCAGAAGCGTGGTAGCATCAGTAATGCAAGAGGAGAGAATGCATGCAATGTTATTGTGTTTTACTGACTATATGAACATTCCAAGGGAATCTATTTGTAGGACTTCAAAATCTTTCCCTGTGTTCCTTCTTTTTTGTGTGTGTTTGTGTGTAGCATGGGTTTATGATTCTGGACAATTCCTAGGAAAAACGGATGTATCATATTCAATGGGAAGTACCCTGAGGCTGCTGACTATATAAGACTGATTGTATTGCTTTGATTTGCCGATCTATGTTTTCAACACACACACATGCTGGAATGAGCAAGGACTCTCTGCTTGTTATAACCAGCCACTGCTATGAACCTCCCTCAAATTACTGTGAGGCAGCACTGAGCTCAAATAAGATTGTATATAAATAAATAAATGCAAGAACATGTAATTCAGTAACATAAAATAAAAAAGAAATAAAAAAATAGACAATATAAATGAATACAAATTTAAATTAAATATATGCACACACATACTGTAATGGTTCTAGGGGTTGCTCGTGCGTAAGTTGCTGCCACTCCTGGCTAGGTTGCCTGGTTGAACCCTCTCTGTCTGGACAGCCTCAAATTTCGTGGCTGTCTCAGTCGCTGGCAGAATCCGTCAGTGGGCGTCTCTTGAACCTTTTCCAGCATAAAAGCTGTTTGACGCCAAGTCTCCTCCTACTCTCCCTGCGCGGAAGTCTCCTGAGCAGGGAGGGTGTGGGCAGCGGAGTACCCATACTCTCTCCGCTGGTCTCCGGTGAGGAGTCCTGGAGCCTCCCCTCCGATTCCCCCATCTGCCCCCCTTCTCCACTGGTGTTACGCTGATTTTCTTCCCCCGTAGATGGGCTGCCTCTCTCCCTACTAGGACCCTCTCCGGCATCCCTCTGGAGCCTTCCCTCCGCCTCTAGCTCCGATGGCAGTTCCCTGACACATACATATATACAAATTTGGGTTGTTTCATCCACAATCCCTAGAAAAAATAATTATTGGTGTGGGAGAAGCTGTACACTTTTTAAAGAACAATTTGTTTTATTTATAAGTATTGCCCTCAAGGTCTTATGACTCGAGGTCTTATTGTTACTTGAATTTCACAGAGTAGCATTTTTCACAGGAGGCATTTGAACACTGCCATCATCATTAATATATAAAATAGTTTTTTGGCACATAGCTGAAAATACGATTGTCAAGATGTCTGCCAAGACAATGGTTTTATGCCTTCATTTATAAAACAAGGCTTTATGCCCTTATTGTTGTCCCAAGGTGAGAATTTTGGGTTAGGCAGCTGTTCCTGCACGTGCCACATGATGGATGGTGGAAGGCACAGTTGCTAAAATTCAGCCTTCTTTAGATACTGCACTCTAGCCTAGTCCAAATGAACTAGAATTCTAAACTAATAAAAGCCCAGATGTGCTTATTCCTCTAAATGACGAAAACTTGCCTGGTACTTAATTTAACACATTCATATTCCCAGGATTCTACAGTGGTTATTTAATTTCCACCTAGCTAGCTGCTCAAACCTACCCATTTCATTGAGCATCCAAACTCTGATTCACCTTCCATTTCCTCCTAATCCACAATATTAAGTTCTTACAATTTAGTGTGGAGGGGTGAGCTGGGGTGGGGGGCAACAAGAGGAGAGAGCCATTTGTAAACCAGTCTGTAATATGGGCACACACAAGAAATCTGAATGTGTTTTCAGGGCAGTCCGTTCTATGGACTAGAAGAGGGAAAATATCAAAACAAAACTTTCCCAGCCACAGATTGTAACATGGGATTCAAAAGCAGTCATCTTGGCCGTATGCTGGCCAGCTATTGCTAGACAACTGTGCTATTTTTGGTATGTGCTGCCTGCTGCTGCTTCATTGTTCGGCTGTTTGGGTTTTATTTTGCATGGTTTTGCATTATTTTAGTGGTGTTTTCATTAGGTGCTTTTTAAAATTTGTGAAGCACCGTGGTATTTTTGGATGAACTGCAATATAAATAGCTTAAAGGGGAAAATACAGCTGAAACGGTGGATAATGAGTCCCCCAGACTTTGCGTTCACATTCCAAGGCTATGCAGTGGTACCTCGGGTTAAGTACTTAATTCGTTCTGGAGGTCTGTTCTTAACCTGAAACTGTTCTTAACCTGAAGCACCACTTTAGCTAATGGGGCCTCCTGCTGCCGCCACATGATTTCTGTTCTCATCCTGAGGTAAAGTTCTTAACCTGAGGTAATATTTCTGGGTTAGCGGAGTCTGTAAGCGTATGTAACCTGAAGTGTATGTAACCCGAGGTACCACTGTAAAGCCAAAATGGTAATCTTACTTTGGATATGGAACCGTGATCACTGTGCCTTATGTATAGATAATAATCACTTGCTTAAAACATGGCCGTTTCCCTGTTTTGAGTGCTGCTTTTGCATCAGGTGTGGGAGGCTGGGCTTCAAATTTTCATTTGGCATCAAGTTCATTTAAGCATCATCATCTCCATAAAGTACTATGTGATCTATCACTACAACCTGATATTTACAGACATTTTCAGCAAATTCAATCCATGGAAAAACACAAAAGACAAGTACCTCCATTAATCTAGAAAATTAGCCTCCTTGTCTTTTCTAAATGCAAACGAAGCAGTAGCCATAGTCGGCTGCCAGATTTTGGTTACGTGTTCTGATTACTGCCTCCCAAGAGTTATGGAAAGATAGGCAGATCTCCTATTGATATGTGCAATCAAATTTCACAGAATAGCAGCCTGGAAGTACAGCTGATAAAACTATACCCAAAAGATAACCCGAGTCTAGATCGGATTACAATTATGATTCAGAATGTGGCACGCGAGCACACACACAAGCATGAAAGTGATGCTCCAAGTTGCATCAGATCCAATTTCCAAGTTACAAATGCATAATGTACTAGTTAAGATTATTCTGAATGGAAAAAAGAAACCTCACAGATATACACATCTCTCCAGTAATGAATAGGGGAAACCGTCGGAATATAACAAAATTTCAAAAACGGAAGACTTTGTGCCTTTATATCAATCACCTTCTGCTGCTGTAGAGCTGGCAGACGATTGCTGCAAGTTATTTTTGCACAGGCGCAATAAGGAGCAAAGTTATTATCTTTATCAACACAATTGAAAGTTACCGGAACATGTCCTGCATAAACTCTGTTGACTTTGCTAGAAATGGGAGATAACAAAATCAATGATGTACATGAAGGGGAGGGGAGAGGGAAGGAAGAAGAGAGCCACCTTCACAACACACTGTAACCTTTTCCAATAAATGTTTTGCATGTTATAAAGGTAAGCACAGAGAAATATATATATTTATATATCTGTGGTGTGTACACACACGAGTCCACCACAGCTTCTTTCCAGAAAGCTTGTGAAAATCATGATAATTCTCCAGAGAATTAATGATGGGGAGGGAGAAGGGAAGATGTCAAGGGAAGAAAAATGGAATATATGACCTACCTTGCAGAAGGGCTCCATTTCGCTTGAAAAAGGTGCTTCCTGGCCAAATAGGTGGACCTGATGTGCTGAAGGCAATAAAAAAGAAGTGTAAAGAAAATCTTTATGTGATTTCGCAGTTGGCATAATTATACCTTCTTCTTCCTTTTTTTTAAAGTGTGGCATCTGTTTCACTGTGGTAAGAACATAGCATTTTGTTTTTAAAGAGTAGGGCTTAGCTCTTCATTAAAAAAAATAATTATTTAACTATCACATTCTATTCACAAGAAAAAAACTCAGCCCAATGTCGGCCCACACACTTTTAAGAAGGGAGGGAAGAGAAATCTAGAAACAAAAATATTTCTCCCACACACAATTTTTTTAAAAAACATAATAAATTCATAGCCTGGCAAAACATACATTAAGCTTACTTCTGAAATGCAAAAATGCTTTACACACTCACACTCTATAAGCCAGATCTCACTTCCCATTTTTAAAAGTATAAACCAAAGGCAGCATCTGTTGCCTGCATAAATCAACCAACCCTGAACCAGATGCTGTTTTCTTGCAACCTAGAGGACAACTTCTTATAGTGGCAAAGGTGGGTCTTTCCGGGTGCAATCTTCTGGAAGTTGGGCTTCACAGGTGGCGGTGTGAATTTTGAAGTTTGCACGTATATATATCAACATGTTTGTGCACAGGCATTCTGCCTATGAAATCTGTCAACAACTATGTGTGCATGTTGATGGATCATGGCTATAAATGTGTATGTGCACAGGTCAAATCGCATGATGTTCTACAAAGGTTAACAATTTTCTCCAATTCAGAGGCTTTGGGGTATCAGAATTGGAGAAAGACATTATCTCCTCTTCAGCTTAGAAAAAAGGGTTTTTTAAAGCTATATTAGGTGCTCTTGGTTAAACCCTGAAGCCATTTCATCACACAATACTTAAAGGCAAAACACACCCACACACCCACACACCCACAACGTTGTGAGATTTCGGGCCAACTTGAGAGCGGCCTATCTAATCATCAATGGCATCACTGTAGCTAGGAAACAACTCTTGATATGCAGAGACTTGCAGCTTAATTTCAGCTTTGCGGCACACTATCAGCACTAAATCAACTAACCAAAGACATTTGATCCAATAGATAAATGGAACTATGTCCAGTTATTTTCTTAACTTCATTGACACGAGGACGTCTGAAAGTTGAATCAGGCAAGGTTTACAATCTGCCACATCCCTGCTCTGCTCTGTCTTAATAGACAGAATAAATTGCAGCTAAGGAAATAGATGGAGGCACAAACAGTCATCATCTTCTTACGGAACGATCATCACATTACCGCCAATTTGCACAACCTTTAGATTGATGATTCAGCCCAACCTTCATACGTCTTCATACCCACTGCTGGGCAGGTTTTAATTATAGTCATAGCAGGTGTATTAGAGAGGATTAGCTGCTTCTACAAGCAACAGCTGAGACCCCCCCCCCGCCACAATAGCCAACATAACTGCCTTGCACATGTCTGCATTCTGCATGCAAATATGCCCTGCATCTATATTCATATGCCAAATCCTTTCTATCACACCATTTCAGCCAAAGTACATATTGCCTAGTTTGTTAAAAGCAACAACAAATAATGTGTGCTATTTTATTTATTGTTGTATGTCGCTTTGGGTTGCATTCTGTCCTCACTGCTGCCACGGGAAGCCAACAAGCAGATCCTAAGCTCAACAGCACACTCTCCAACTGCATTTCCCACTGACTGGTTTCAGAGGCACCGCCTCCAACAAAACAGTCGTTGCGGCTAGCAACCATTGAAACCTTATTCTTCATGAATGAGTTCTGTCCCGACTTCCCTTCAGTCTACTACAGGCTTATAAACCTGGAAATGGTAAGCTTAAGGGGGAAAGGAAAGAGAAGAAAGCATCCATTAGAATCAGGATCTTCCAAAACAGACTGAAAAATATTCCCTTAAATGGGATGCATCTTCTACCTAAATATAGAAGGGTGGGTATTTCCCTTCCAGGAAAATGAATTCAATTTAGAAAAAAGAAGAGAAGGAAAAGGCTATTAGTGCCTGACCGCAACTGGTTACACAAGAAAGGTTTTACACACATGCACACACTCGGTCACTGCAGTTGGGTGCCTTGCAACATTCAAGTGACATACTAAGCGAATAATGTGAGAACAGAAGCCTCTTGTTTGTAAGCCTCCATTTATCCAAGTCATCACTATTTCTCCTTAAAATTAGGTTTTAATTTCAGTTATTATTTGCATTTACTCAAGGAGAAGCAAAAACTTTCAAGCACAGCACATACTGTTTTCCATGTTGAAAAAAGGGGACTGATGATGTCATCATTTTGATGAAGTTCCTCTTAAACTTCACACAAGATACACAGGCCCACCGCAGAGTTGAAAAGTTAAATTTTCTATCCATTACAAGTGATGGCATATTAAAAAGGTAAAGGTACCCCTGCCCGTACGGGCCCGTCTTGACAGACTCTAGGGTTGTGCGCCCATCTCACTCAAGAGGCTGGGGGCCAGCGCTGTCCGGAGACACTTCCGGGTCACGTGGCCAGCGTGACATCGCTGCTCTGGCAAGCCAGAGCCGCACACGGAAACGGCGTTTACCTTCCCGCTAGTAAGCGGTCACTATTTATCTACTTGCACCCGGGGGTGCTTTCGAACTGCTAGGTTGGCAGGCGCTGGGACCGAGCAGCGAGAGCGCACTCCGCCGCGGGGATTCGAACTGCCGACCTTTCGATCGGCAAGCCCTAGGCGCTGAGGCTTTTACCCACAGCGCCACCTGCGTCCCTGGCATATTACTGACATGTTAAAGCCAATGCATGTTAAAACCAATAATGTTTTTAGTGATCATATGGTCTTTTTCAGCTTTCACCTCTTAAATAGGTTGTAAAATCATAAAAATCAACAGGCACTTCTGAAACTTCCAGATTTTTTCCACTCTTAAGGCAGCAATACGAACATCTAACCTGGCCCAAACCTCAACAAATCTATTTGTGATTTAAGGGGGTGGGGCAGTGAACTGAGGGCATTCAAGGGAAATGACAAAAGTAAATACAATATTGGCAGCACTCATGCAAAACAGGTTTTTATCTGAGTCACGAGGGGAGAAACTGAGCCACCAAGAACAATCAACCCCTTTCCAAGAAACCTAAACCCCACCCCTGCTAACCCAGAGTTCTCTGAATTCCCTGCACATTGGCAAAGCACCCAATGCTTTATAGTTGTTCGTACAGGAGTCACAAGGTCTAGCACAAGATGGCACTGGGCAAGGCTAGCAAAGCAACCATTTTGGGGCAGATCCTGGTGTCATGCCCCAAATAATTTCCATCCATGGGAGACAGAATGCCTCAACAGGGCTAACTACTGCTTGAGGAGGAGGAGTGGTTCAGAGTGGAATCAAACTTTAGGTATTTCACCAAAAGGGAGGAAAAAACCCCAGTACATACATAGTCCAAGGCATTCTGATTACTCAAAGTCTTGCAGATTATCCTGTATGTTTTTTTGTATATTGGCAGGGGGTTTAAGGGGCCAACGTTCAATGATAAGAGCACATTCTTTGCGCGCGAAGGGTCCAAGGTTCAATCCTTGTCTCTCCCACCTCCCCACCCCTCAGATATGGCTGAGAAAGACCCTTGCCTGAAACCCGGAGAGCCACCAACAGTCAATGCAGATGATACTATGCCAGGGTCATAGACTGGCTGTATGCAGAAGAGTGGTGGGAGGCACCAGCTAGGGAACCCCCCTGGGGAAGAAGGCTCAGAGCCAGAGGACTGGTGGTGGGATGGTGATGAGTGGTCAGAGGGAGAAGGAGCAGGCTAGGAGGAGGCGTCGGAAGCAGAAGTAGTGACAGGGTTTAGTGAACAGGAAGATGTTGGAGCAGGGAACAGTTCAGACACCGAGGCAGAAGCGGGGCTGGAGTAGGGCCAGGAGGAAGGGAGGCCGGCTGCAGAAGAAACCAGGGAGTCTCCCCCTCCTGCTGCGACCAGCTCCCCTCCACCCTGGTCTCCTAGAACACACAAGAGTAATGAAACAGCCAGATCAAGGGGAGGGTTGCGTGCAGATACAGGCTGAGACTGCATGAGAAAGACCTTGGAGAGGAGGAGATCTAGTGGGCCTTCAGTCCTCGCAAATGCTTCCATTGGGGCAAGACCTCCAGCTGTGGTTTGCTTCCTTGAATAAAGAGTTAACTTCACTGGCCTATGGTGATTTATTGTTTGGTTGCTGACCTACCCAACTCCAGCCCTGAAAGCTATCTGACTTGAGTAAGGAAGCCACTTGTGTTTGACACCAGGGGTCTTATAGCCCTTCCCTTTGCAGTCTCTTGAAAAGGTACTGCAGCCAGAATAGGGGGAAATTGCCACACTCTTACATACCCAAAGTCACTTCACTAATCCAATAAGCTCAGTATAGATCCCACTCACTGGTAGCATCTCTCCAGGGTTTCAGGCAGGGAACCCTTGCAGCCCCACCTGGAGATAACAGGAGTAGAATCTGGGGCCTTAGGCATGCAAAGCCAAAGCTCTACCTCTGAGTTGCAGCCTGTCTGCATCTTGATTGCAGAACTGCTTTCTGAGTGCGCATGGGGCTCTTTGCATCTTGCCCAACAGCAGCTACTGTTCCAACATAAACCAAGCCCAATACTTTATGACTGGCAGGAATTGAAAGGAGCTTAGTCCTCACATCTAGTCATCAAAGCGGGAGAGAAGGATTTGCAATCAGGAATCCATCTACACTTGTGAACGCCAACAGGTCTTACTAATGTTCATATCTATGTTTATAAATAATCACTTGGCAATCCGAAAACAGCCTTCAACAGCGTACAATACAATGATCTGCTAACGTTTAGGGCAGGAACGAGGTAGAAGCAGGATTAGAGACTGCTGCTTTAGCCAGAAGTTCTACAAAGAATTACTAATATATAAAACCTAGTCACAGCCTAGTGTACATTGCAGCATTATAAAATTTTGAAATTAAAAATGAATATTTATGTCTTGCCATCGCTTTAGTAAATTTTGTTAACAAGATAAAAGAATTTACCGCTCCTTCTGACAGCTGC